GCAGATACCGAGGCCGCGTCGAAGCCGTAAAGAGTGAACTGCTTCACGTGCCGCCGTACTAACAAGAATCAGATCTGGCCGACTGACGCTAGGACCTGGAGAGAACGTGTCCCAACTTGGATCCAGACCATAAGTCGGTTCGCTGCCATAAATCGCTCCTATGTCGCGCCATCGCCCCGTAGCCAAGGCAGCCGGGGGCGTCGAAGACTGGGCAATGGTCGCGTTGGAGTCCACGCGCAGAAAAACCGCCTGACCACCAAGGGATTCGGCATCTTCAAAGGCGCACTGAGAGTCTCTGTTGTTGCGCGTCCGTATCAAAGAGACATTGCCTGGTTTATTATAAAGAGAAACAATGTGGATCGGGGTCCCACCACTAAGAACTAACTGTCTCAACCAACGCGTGGTCTGCTAGAGTTCCCGTGCAGCCCCATAAGTTGCGCCGCAATCGATAGCGACCACATCATGATTGGCAAGAATCGCCCCCCCCCCCCCCCCCCACACCCCCCCCACCCCGAGCACTTCGAGGCGCCTTGCGCCCATGACAAACTTGAGCACGTACAGGTAGTCCGAAGCGGGCCTGGTAACGCACTGCAGCACAAGCTTTGTCACATCCGAGTTGCTCACGTAAGCTGAGTCGTGCTTCTTGTAAGGCCAAGGCGTCCGCTGACATGCATGACATTCTGCCGCTGAAAGTATCCCAGCTGGCCTCGTTGGCGAGGATGGCACTGGCCCGCTAGCAGGCTGCTTGCCCCGTAAACGCCGTGCGGGCATCATTGTAGCGGGTCGACTTGCATGGGGGCGGCATCAGTGCTTTCCTCTAGCCGCTTCGCCAGTCGTTCATGTTCTTCATCGCCCTTCTTTTCGTCTTCTGTGAGACAGTCTGAGCCCGAACGCAGTAGTGAGAAGCCTTTTGAACGGCCTTGTCCTTGCATTTGAAGTTGCGATAAGATTTGTCTGTTCTGTGCTACCATAGCCGCACCAATCGCATCAGCGATGGACTTCTGGAAGTCTGCTGAAAGCCACCTGCCCGCTGGCGGTGATGTCGGAGGTGGAGGGCGCTCTTGTTGTTGCTGCTGCTGTGGCGGTGCTGCTTGTCGTGCTGGTCGCGTAAGTTGTGCTGTCAGGGTGGAGGTCGCCGCCGGCTGAGCTGGAGATCGACCAATCGATTTTTCCCATTAAGCGTTGTCACGACATCCACCCATTCCTTGGACACTGGCGCATGGTCTTCTCGTTTCTTGGCCGCATTGATCGCGGCTTGAATATCGCCGAGCAGCGCGTCTAAGGCCTGTGGCGGCCCCGCGGCGCGTGCGCGGGTAACAGGAGTAGATCGTGGCCCCTTACATTCCCCACGTAAACTGACAAATTCGGCCTCCCAACCCAGTTGTTGAGAAAGCTCATTGACGAATTGTTTTCCCTCAACAAGTTGTGGGGGGGGGGGAGAAATTTCGTATAGAGTAGGTGCGGGCGGCGCTCGTCCTCGAAGAGCCTGCCGCGCTGCCTGTGCCTGCGCTTTGTTGACTAAG